CGGGTCTTGCCCTGAGCTGGGAACCTGGGGCGTGCTCGCAGGAGGAGAACTCCCGCGCCGTCCTGCCCCGGGGAGCTTCTGGACTGGAGTGCCCACCGATGCGGCGCGGCTGGATCCGCGAGCGGGTCTTGCCCTGAGCTGGAAGCCTGGGGCGTGCTCGCAGGAGGAGAACTCCCGCGCCCCTCCCGCGCCGTCCTGCCCCGGGGCGCTTCTGGACTGGAGTGCCCACCGATGCGGCGCGGTTGGGTCCGCGAGCGGGTCTTGCCCTGAGCTGGGAACCTGGGGCGTGCTCGCAGGAGGAGAACTCCCGCGCCGTCCTGCCCCGGGGAGCTTCTGGACTGGAGTGCCCACCGATGCGGCGCGGCTGGATCCGCGAGCGGGTCTTGCCCTGAGCTGGAAGCCTGGGGCGTGCTCGCAGGATGGAACTCCCGCGCCGTCCTGCCCCGGGGCGCTTCTGGACTGGAGTGCCCACCGATGCGGCGCGGTTGGGTCCGCGAGCGGGTCTCGCCCTGAGCTGGAAGCCTGGGGCGTGCACGCAGGAGGAGAACTCCCGCGCCGTCCTGCCCCGGGGCGCTTCTGGACTGGAGTGCCCACCGATGCGGCGCGGCTGGGTCCGCGAGCGGGTCTTGCCCTGAGCTGGAAGCCTGGGGCGCGCACGCAGGAGGAGAACTCCCGCGCCGTCCTGCCCCGGGGCGCTTCTGGACTGGAGTGCCCACCGATGCGGCGCGGTTGGGTCCGCGAGCGGGTCTTGCCCTGAGCTGGAAGCCTGGGGCGAGCTCGCAGGAGGAGAACTCCCGCGCCGTCCTGCCCCTGAAGTCTTAAAACGGAGTGCCCACCGATAGCGGCGCGGTTGGCGCCGCGAGCGGGTCTTGCCCTGAGCTGGAAGCCGGGGCGTGCACACAGGAGGAGAATTCCCGCGCCGTCCTGCCCCGGGGCGCTTCTGGACTGGAGTGCCCACCGATGCGGCGCGGTTGGGTCCGCGAGCGGGTCTTGCCCTGAGCTGGAAGCCTGGGGCGTGCACGCAGGAGGAGAACTCCCGCGCCGTCCTGCCCTGAAGTGCTTAAGAACTGGAGTGCCCACCGATGCGGCGCGGTTGGGTCCGCGAGCGGGTCTTGCCCTGAGCTGGAAGCCTGGGGCGTGCTCGCAGGAGGAGAACTCCCGCGCCGTCCTGCCCTGAAGTGCTTAAGAACTGGAGTGCCCACCGATGCGGCGCGGTTGGCGCCGCGAGCGGGTCTTGCCCTGAGCTGGAAGCCTGGGGCGCGCACGCAGGAGGAGAACTCCCGTGCCGTCCTGCCCTGGGAGGCACGGTGTGGGGGACGGGGGTGGTTCAGCACGGCGGGTGGGGGGGGAGAGGGGAGGATGCGCATGGCAAGGCCTTGCCGCGCTGGGCCTATCCGCCGCGCGGGCAAGCCAGGGATCTGAGGGGATTGCCCGACCCCCGTTAGGGCTAATTTCTGTTGGCGGGAGGAAGGAGGAACAGGGGAGATATGCGGGGCCAAGCGGACACACGCCTGAAAAACACGACTGTCGGCATGCTTCGCAAGAGTTGCTGCTGTGAGATGGGCTGGTGGGGATACGCGAAGCGTAAAGAATTTCTGTTGGCTTTCAGGCCGCGCTTCGGGCCTCAACAGGTGGCCGTTCTGGACGATTCTGGCACCCCCGGCCGCCCATCGAGGAGGCGCGGCCGAGGGAAACCGCTCGGGCCCCGAGGACATCCCCGAGAGCATCCCCAGACCTGCCAAAAGGCAGAAAGCAACAGAATCCTCTGAGAGGACCCTCGAGTTCGAAAGTCCAGGGTTCGCCAGGGACTGGCTTCCTTGCAAAAGAGCCGAAGCCCTACCGAAACCCTCCGAAAACTCTCCAGGAAGGGTTCCAGGGAGGGAGGGTTCCGGGGAGGATTTTCGGAGGGCTCCGGGAGGGTTTTGGAAGGGCTTTCGCCGTTTTGGGGGGAAGCCGGTCCCTAGCGAACCCTGGGCTTTCGAAGCCTCGAGACCCTCCGACGACGTCGAGCCCCCGGCCCCGTCGGGCCAGTCGGCCATGTGCAGCGCCGCGAACAGCACCCTCTGGCTCGGCTTGGACCCCGGGGCCTCGCCCAGGCAGCCGCCGAGGAGCCGCTCCGCCTGCCCCGCGTCGCCCTCCCTCCCCTCCCTCCCCTCTCCTCCCCTCCACAATTACTCAATACGAATACTAGCCGGCCGCTCTTCGGTTGATCGGGAGTTTCTGTATATAGAAGAAGGTGCGTGCGCCTGTTGGCGAGGGCGAGGATGAGGTTCCTCCTCCTCCTCCTCCTCCTCCTCCTCCTCCTCCATCCTTCTCTTGCCTCCGTCTGTCCTCCTCCACCCCGCAGCTCCATCATCTTCTCCTCCTCCTCCTCCTCCTCCTCCTCCTCCTCCTCCTCCTCCTCCTCCTCCTCATTCCTCCTCTGGGCACCTCCCACGGGGCGGGGATCCACCGGATCTGTCCGGATCTGGGTGCCGGAGGCCGCTCTGGGCTCCTCTGGGCACCTCCCCCGGGGCCGGTTTTGTGAGGATGTCTCAAGCGAGGGCGCCGGTTTGGGATTCGTCGGCGGATCCACTGGATCCACCGGATCTGTCCGGAAACGGTGCCGGAGGCCGCTCTGGGCTCCTCTGGGCACCTCCCCCGGGGCCGGTTTTGTGAGGATGTCTCAAGCGAGGGCGCCGGTTTTGGGATTCGTCACCGGATCCAGCGGATCCAGCGGATCCAGCGGATCTGTCCGGAAACGGTGCCGGAGGCCGCTCTGGGCTCCTCTGGGCACCTCCCCCCGGGCCGGTTTTGTGAGGATGTCTCAAGCGAGGGCGCCGGTTTGGGATTCGTCGGCGGATCCACCGGATCCACCGGATCTGTCCGGAAACGGTGCCGGAGGCCGCTCTGGGATGTCGTCGGCGGATCCACCGGATCCAGCGGATCTGTCCGGAACGGTGCCGGAGGCCGCTCTGGGCTCCTCTGGGCACCTCCCCCGGGGCCGGTTTTGTGAGGATGTCTCAAGCGAGGGCGCCGGTTTGGGATTCGTCACCGGATCCAGCGGATCCAGCGGATCCAGCGGATCTGTCCGGAAACGGTGCCGGAGGCCGCTCTGGGCTCCTCTGGGCACCTCCCCCGGGGCCGGTTTTGTGAGGATGTCTCAAGCGAGGGCGCCGGTTTGGGATTCGTCACCGGATCCAGCCGGATCCACCGGATGTCCGGAAACGGTGCCGGAGGCCGCTCTGGGCTCCTCTGGGCACCTCCCCCGGGGCCGGTTTTGTGAGGATGTCTCAAGCGAGGGCGCCGGTTTGGGATTCGTCGGCGGATCCACCGGATCTGTCCGGAAACGGTGCCGGAGGCCGCTCTGGGCTCCTCTGGGCACCTCCCCCGGGGCCGGTTTTGTGAGGATGTCTCAAGCGAGGGCGCCGGTTTGGGATTCGTCACCGGATCCAGCGGATCCAGCGATCCACCGGATCTGTCCGGAAACGGTGCCGGAGGCCGCTCTGGGCTCCTCTGGGCACCTCCCCCGGGGCCGGTTTTGTGAGGATGTCTCAAGCGAGGGCGCCGGTTTGGGATTCGTCGGCGGATCCACCGGATCCACCGGATCCACCGGATCTGTCCGGAAACGGTGCCGGAGGCCGCTCTGGGCTCCTCTGGGCACCTCCCCCGGGGCCGGTTTTAGGATGTCTCAAGCGAGGGCGCCGGTTTGGGATTCGTCGGCGGATCCACCGGATCCACCGGATCCACCGGATCCACCGGATCTGTCAGGAAACGGTGCCGGAGGCCGCTCTGGGCCCCTGTGCTCCCCGCGCCGGGGGTGAGGATGACGGTAGTTCCACAGAAACTCCCTCAAACTACTCTCCCTCTTCCCCCGATGGCGGCCTGAAAGTAGCCAACCCCCCTCCGCGTCTTGCTTTTTTACACACAGGATTCCCGGGAGTTGGGTTTTCGCCTGCATTTTTTTTTTTTTTTCTCCAAAAATGCTGCTCGCCGAGGCGCCGGCCTCATTTTCGGGCCCCGCTCGTTCCGAATCGTGCTCCCGCTGCAGCGCTGGCCTCATTTCCGTGCTTCCGCTCGTTCCGAATCGTGCTCCCGCTGCAGCGCTGGCCTCATTTCCGCGCTTCCGCCCGTTTCGACTCGTGCTCCCGCTGCAGCGCTGGCCTCATTTCCGTGCCATGCCACAGCACACGCGCACACACGCACACACACACACACACTCACACACTCTCTCTCTCTCACACCACACACCAGCACCAGCACCAGCACCAGCACCAGCACCACACCAGCACCAGCACCAGCACCAGCACCAGCACCAGCACCAGCACCAGCACCAGCACCAGCACCAGCACCAGCACCAGCACCAGCACCAGCACCAGCACCAGCACCAGCACCAGCACCAGCACCAGCACCACACCACCACCACCACCACGCACACACGCACGCACGCACGCACGCACGCACGCACGCGCACCACCACCCTAGTCCGCGGATAGAGAAAATCAGCGCCATGGTAAGGGATGGGAGGGAGGGGTAGGACGTCAGATGTGACGCGCGCGCACCTAGCTTGCCTCCCTCCCCTCCCTCCCCTCCCTCCCTCCCTTCCCTTCCTCCCCTCCCTCTTCTCTCCCTCCCTCCACTCCCTCACTGCCCGCCCCTCCCCTCCACTTCCTCCCCTCCCTCCCTCCCGTCCTCCCCTCCTCTCTCTCTCCCCTCCCCTCCCTCCTCCGCTCCCTCCCCTCCCCCTCCCCTCCGTCCCCTCCCCTCCCCTCCCCTCCCGTCCCTCCCTCCACGTCCTCCCTCCCTCCGTCGACTTGACTGCTCAGAGGCACAATGGTTGCACCAAAGAGGCTCTTGCATGCCTTGCTGGGTACAGTCGACCCGTACCATGGAGATGCGCGACAAGGATGCAAGGGCCTTGGAAGGCCAACGACAAGCTTTTCGAGCGGGGCGCGGCCGACGAACGTGGCCAAGGATGGACCGAGGAGGCACGGATGCAAGGGTAACCTTGGGAAAGTTGCAACAAAGAGGCTCGTGCTTGTCCTGCTGAGTACAAGTGTGCGGGCATCTCGCCGGGTTACTGGCCGCTGGCCGTCCGTGGGCGCCCAATGGGCGCCCCGTGCGCTGGGTGGGTGTGCTGGGGTGTCGCCCGGTGAGGGTCGGTGGCCGCCCGCATCGTGGGCGACCCGTGTGTTCGGTGCACCTAGTAGCCCGCGCCACAGAGCTTGCACCAAGTGTATTGCATCACGTAGTGGCCTGCGTCGCACAGCTTGCATCACATGGCGTGCACCACACAGCCTGCAGCGCAAAGCTTGCACGACAGACATACGCAGAGTGCAGCACGCATAGCGCAGCTTGCACCGCATCGTGTTCACCGCATAGATTGCATCACATTGCTTATTTCACGCAACGTTCACCACATAGCTCGCACCACATTGCTTTGCACCGCCTTGGTGGCACCACGTAGCTTGCACCTAATACCTTGCAGCAGAGATTCTGCACCACACGTAGAACGCATGAGGCAACGCAATTCTTGCACGTCGGGGGTGCACTGCCGCTGCTGGCGTGAAAAACGCCCACCTAGAAACGACATTGCAGTGTGCCCGCCCCCAGACCACCCCATTTCAATGTTGCGTTCGCGGCCGCTGTCGGGGTGCAAGCATCGGCATAAAAAACGCCCAGCATGAAAACACGCCCAGATCTTCACCGCCAAGGCAGCCCCGTTGTCAACATTGACATTGGGGTCACGGGTGTCCCGAGTACATCAGCGTTGACCTTTACGCCTGACGCCATTGGGGGCCATAAAGACGCCATACAAAACATTGGCATCGGCATCGGCATAAAAAAACGCCATTGGGGGCACGGGTGTCCCGAGCACACCAGCGCTGACCCTTACGCCTGACGCCAATGGCGGTAGCATACTGCTCGGGGCCCTCGCTGGCCGGCATGACTTATCAGTAGTACGATTGAAGCTGTCAGCATCATCATTAGCATTCTTAGTAGCATTCGCATCGTTATGCTTATTCCCCACATGCTTCGTCGTGGGGTTCTGGCTTTCTTCCCTGCCGCGCCGCACCCGCGTCTCACACACACCTCCCGCCTCCGCACCCACACACTCGCACACAGCCGCACGCATGCACAAATTCGCACATACAAGACGCATGTTCACTGCATCATGCACCCAAGACGTCTGCACGACATACTGGGCAACACGTGAGATATGTCCCGATATGGCCGCACACGCATCATACACATACACACGGCAAGCCATGCGGCAGGCGAGCAGGCGTGGCACTTCCTCGACACCATAGGGGGTGCGCAGAGGGTGGTCCCTCAGCGGGGCCTCTATCCGTGACACGCTCGCAGGGCGTGGCAGGCGCGGCACTTTCTCGACACCGCTGGGGGGGCGCAAAGGGTGGTCCCTCAGCGGGGCCTCTATCCGTGACACGCTCGCAGGGCGTGGCAGGCGTGGCACTTCCTCGACACCATAGGGGGTGCGCAGGGGGTGGTCTCTCACCGCGGCCGCTATGCACGACAGTCGTCCAGGCACAGCAGCGTGGCACTTTCTCGACACCACAGGGGGTGCGCAGGGGGTGGCCCCTGAGCGCGGCCGCTATCCGTGACACGCTCGCAGGGCGTGGCAGGCGCGGCACTTTCTCGACACCACTGGGGGGGCGCAGAGGGTGGTCCCTCAGCGGGGCCTCTATCCGTGACACGCTCGCAGGGCGTGGCAGGCGCGGCACATTCTCGACATCACATGGGGGTGCGCAGAGGGTGGTCCCTCAGTGCGGCCTCTATCCGTGACACGCTCGCAGAGCGTGGCAGGCGCGGCACTTTCTCGACACCACTGGGGGGGCGCAGAGGGTGGTCCCTCAGCGGGGCCTCTATCCGTGACACGCTCGCAGGGCGTGGCAAGCGCGGCACATTCTCGACACCACATGGGGGTGCGCAAAGGGTGGTCCCTCAGTGCGGCCTCTATCCGTGACACGCTCGCAGATCGTGTCAGGAGTGGCACTTCCTCGACACCACAAGGGGTGCGCAGAAGGTTGTGTCCCTCAGCGCGGCCTCTATCCGTGACACGCTCGCAGATCGTGGCAGGAGTGGCACTTTCTCGACACCACAGGGGGTGCGCAGAAGGTGG